AAATTGGCAATACCTCCCAACTTTGTGTCATCCGCAAACTTTATCAGCCCACTCCTACATTTGGTTCAGAGGTCAGTAATAAATAGATTAAATAAAATAGGACCCAAAACAGAACCCTGAGGAACTCCACTGGTGACCTCCCTCCAACCTGACAGTTCCCCTTTCAGTATCACCCGCTGCAGTCTCCCCTTTAACCAGTTCTTTATCCACCTCTGGATTTTCATATCAATCCCCATCTTTTCCAATGTAACCAATAATTCCTCGTGCAGTAACGTATCAAACGCTTTACTGAAATCGAGGTATATTAGATCCACCGCATTTCCCTTATCTAAAAAGTCTGTTTCCTTCTCAAAGAAGGAGATCAGGTTGGTTTGGCACGATCTTCCTTTCGTAAAACCATGTTGTAATTTGTCGCAATTGCCATTGACCTCAAGGTCCTTAACCACTTTCTCCTTCAAAATTTTTTCCAAGACCTTACATACCACAGATGTTAAACTAACAGGCCTGTAGTTACCCGGGTCACTTTTTTCCCTTTCTTGAAAATAGGTACTACATTAGCTATTCTCCAGTCCAATGGTACCACCCCCGAGTTTATAGATTCATTAAAAATGTTCACTAACGGGCTTGCAATTTCCCCTGCCAGTTCCTTCAATATTCTCTGATGAAGATCATCCGGTCCGCCCGATTTAGTCCCGTTAAGCTGTTCAAGTTTGGCTTCTACCTCGGATACGGTAATGTCAATTCCCCCTCCATTATTCCCCTCTGTCACGCTGCCACTATTCCTAAGCCCTTCATTAGCCTCATTAAAGACCGAGGCAAAATATTCGTTTAGATATTGTGCCATGCCTAGATTATCTTTAATCTCCACTCCATCTACAGTCTTTAGCGGTCCCACTTCTTCTTTCTTTGTTTTCTTCCTATTTATATGGCTATAAAACCTCTTACTATTGGTTTTAATTCCCCTCGCAAGGTCCAACTCTACACGGCTTTTGGCCTTTCTCACTCCATCTCTACATGCTCTGACCTCAATAAGGTAGGTTTCCTTGCTGATCCCTCCCCTCTTCCACTCTTTGTATGCTTTCTGTTTTTTCTTAATCACCCCTTTGAGACGCTCGCTCATCCAGCTCGGTCTAACTCTCTTGCCTACTAACCGTTTTCCCTTCCTCGGGATACAGGCCTCCGACAGCTCCTGTAACTTCAACTTGAAATAATCCCACCTTCAGATCCATAAATAATTTAGCCCAATCCACTTCCCTAACCAGTCCCCTTAATTTATTAAAATTAGCCTTTTTGAAATTGTAAACCACAGTCTCCGATTTAATTCTGTTAATCCTTCCATTTAGTTTAAATCGAATTAGCTCATGATCACTCGAGCCAAGGTTGTCCCCTACAACCATTTCCTCAACGAGGTCCTCACTACTCACCAAAACCAAATCTAAAATGGCATCCCCCCCTCGTCGGTTCGGCTACTACTTGATGAAGGAATTCATCAGCTAGCACGTCTAGGAACATCTGAGCCCTATTATTGTTACTAGCATTTGTACCCCAGTCTGTATTCAGGAAGTTGAAGTCTCCCATGATTACACAGTTCCTATTAGTATTTTCTTCCCTAAAAACATTAAATAGTTCTCTGTCCATATCCAGGTTAGATCCTGGCGGTCTATAGCACACCCCAAGCACTATCCCAGGGGAGGCTCTAGTAGTTCTTTTACCCAGTGTGAGTATTGCCCAGACAGACTCCGTCTTATCCATTCCATCAGTTATTATTTCTTTGCAGTTTACCTCATTATTGACATACAATGCTACTCCCCCACCTTTACCTTTGTTCCGGTCGTTCCTAAACAGCACATACCCTTCCATACCTGTACTCCAGTCATGACTACTGTTCCACCACGTTTTGGTTATTCCTACGATATCTGGTTTCATTTCTCGGACCAGGAGCTCCAATTCCTCCATTTTGTTACCTAGGCTTCTCGCATTGGTGTATAAACATCTTAATGTATGCCGTTTAGCCTCTCTCCCATTAGTTATGCAATTTGGTACGGACCCCGTACTGTCCATCCCCCCCCTCCTTCTTATGTCCAATCCCTCCCCCCTAGCTATATCTGTTCATATCTCATCTCCCTCCTTTTCAATGTTGGAATCTGACGTGGAGATTAACTGGACGTCTCCCCCAAATGCCTAGTTTAAAGCTCTTTTGATAAGATGAGCCAGCCTCCCTCCCAGAAGTCTAGTTCCTTCCCTACTCAGGTGAAGTCCATCCCATGAGAACAGTTGTCTGTCCCGGAAAGCCTCCCAGTGGCCATACATCCCAAAGCCCTCCTTATAGCACCACTCTCTTAGCCAGCTATTTATCCTCACAATCCTGTCAGCCCTTTGCTGCCCTTCTCTAGGAACAGGCAGAATCCCACTAAAGATGATCTGAGCCTCGATCTCCTTGAGCGTCTTCCCTAGTCTGGCATAATCTCCCTTGATTCTCTCTAATGAGAACCTAGCCGTGTCATTTGTTCCTACATGAAGGATGATCAAGGGGTTCTTACCTGCTTCTTTTAGGATCCTTTTCATCTGCAGGTCCACATCCCGTATCTTAGCGCCCGGTAGACCGCACACCCTTCTGTTCTCTGGGTCCGCCCTGGTCACAGGCCTGTCTAACCTCCTCAGTAAGGAATCCCCAATCACATAAATCTGCCTTTGCCTGGTGACAGTGCAATCTACTAATCTATCCCCTGTTTCCTCTAGTCGCAACCCTTGTCTGTTCCTATTTTCCCTTATACTCCCCCTTGTGCCATTCTGTATCCTCCCGGGGCCCAGATTTGGTGCGGTCTCCATCAACTCCTCCCCTCTCTCTATTGGACTAGCTGCTCTTCTCTTGTTACTCACCCTCCCACCTTCAGTTACCACCTGCTGCCCCCCCTCCTCGTTATCCAAACACCCATCTTAGGAAGTTGTTCGGGAAGTCTCTTTGACTGATGGGAAAGAAGTGGACCTATACCGTAGAGACGTTAGTGTTTTTGCATTCTGCTTCCTGGTAGCTGGAATCAACAGCTCAGAGTTAGGGGTTTTATATTAAAATGTGAGAGATGACTACATTAAATACACAACTCCTGGTAAGTAAATTCACCCTTTCGCTTTCCCATATTATCAGGGAAGGTCTAAGTATGAGCCTAGTCCTATATGTTTTAGCAGTTCTGTGTATTTCTAAATTTTAAAATAGGACAACATGAGAGCCTATTGAATGCCTTTTTGGCATTTGTGGTGAGGATTAGAGAAGATTGCTTGTTCACTGTATTAAATACGCTGTTTACTTAACAACCTTGTATTGTGTCGGTGACGCTGCACTTAGTTCCCCTCCATTTTTATTTTGTAATTCTATACTTCTGGCCCTTCCCCTTCCAAAAGGCTACTTCATATATCAAGCAAAAAAAGCTGTATGATGTGCACCTAACTCCATCCAAGACTGAGTGGATCATCTTTGCCACCTGCTTAATCTCCTGAGTCTGCTTCTGAATCTAATTCCCCCTTATTGAAAACACCGCACACCAGGTCAGCTGTTCAGATTCTTTTCATCCTGATTCATTCCATTTGTCATTAAACATGTTTGTATCAAAAGTAACTGTATAGTCACATCCTAACTAAAGAACCTCTTGTTCATATCAATTTGTTTCTAAGATAAAGAAATTTTGTTTGGGTTGGGAGGGAGTTATTTCAAATAAGAGGATCTATTGCAGAACTAGGTCAGAGATCCAATAGAGAGGAGGGGGAGTGGTACACAGGAGTCTAATATTCAATATATTCAGGTCCACAGATACAGATTTAATATTTTCAGTAGCTAGTTTAAAAATATGGAGTCCGTTCTTCTCTGATACACACACAAATGTCATTGATAATGTAAGTGGATTGGCTGATCTTGGAGTCTTTTTTTAGGCATTTTACAATTCAAACTAAGATACATTGTAAATATTTGGTCAGATCTCTGTAGTCTGATTGCACAGTCTTCCCGTATGAGACAGCATGTACTAATTCATGTTGTATGCCATGAAAATCACAGTATTCCCTTATCAGAGGGTTAGCCGTGTTAGTCTGGATCTGTAAAAAGCAACAATGAGTCCTGTGGCACCTTAAAGACTAACAGATGTATTATGCTCCAATACATCTGTTAGCCTTTAAGGTGCCATAGTATTCCCTTAGAAACCTCATAAATGTATTCAAGTTATATACCATAGCAGACCCCATTTTCTTTCTAAATTTTTTTTTACCTAGTTCTTTTTCTGTAATTTCATTTTCTGGCATTGATTTCTGTGCCCCTGTTTTTTCTCTCTTGCTAACAGCGAGACTTATGCAGGATCCTTAAAGCAAATTCTTAACTTCCTTCAGTGCAGTCTTTTCTATAAGGCTCTCCTTCCTGCATCTCCTCTGAGGACAGTTGCCACACTGAGAACTAGAAAGGGTTTCCTATTCTTGCTGCATTGTAGTCTTTAGCAATACGTTAATTTGTACAGTTTGCATTTGCACAAGCTCCATGGGGTTTTATGTTGCTTGTATATTTTAGCTGCAAGTTTGATATTTTTCAAAACAATATAATTTACAGGATGGCAGAGGAAGGAATATAAAGGGGGATTTCCTTCCCCCCCCCCCCTGCAATTAACACACACATTTTTATTTATTTATTTTATTTGGTGGGCAAGGTTAAACCTTTGTATTTGTTTCTGCAACTAGTTATGGTCAATTTAAATAAGTAAATGAGTTCCAACTATTCCTTTTGACAAGATGGGTTTTTATTAAGCAGTGAAATTAATCAAATAGTCACATTACAGCATGGATTTTACTTAAAGCTCAAAAATATATTTGCGTAATAAATTATTGATGCCTTTTCAATTTTTCCCCAGTATTGTGAGTCCTTTCTATTGTGCATGATAGAGGAGACCTGCTGAGTTTGCAAATAATTGACTTGAAATTGCTTCAAATAATTCTGCTTTTTTGGCTTTTTTGTACCTAATCAGAATTGATGTGACTGAAGTGCAAATCTTCATAATAATCATGCATTTACTGGCCGTGATTGGAGGACCATCTTTTTGGCAATCAATGGTAATTTTGCTCATATTGTATATTAAGTTTAATGTATATTTCTGATTATTCTGCTTCTTGTCTTGTTTTTTCTAATCTGGTCTACATCTGGAAGAGCACCATATTTAGAACAGTATCAGTTTCCTTTGGGAGGGAAAGATCTCATTTCCCCGTAAGATTAAAAGATTTGTGTTCTTGAAGAACGTGAATGATTTCATATCTAACAAATGGCAGTGATGGTGCATTCTGGTTTTACTAGCACCACATGAAAAACAGTCAGTCATTCTTTTGCATGCTGTACCATCATTCATGTAGAATGTCTACCTGCACCTCTGGGTGAACTAAGTAATTTTCTATTGGTAAACGTAGCTCAGTGGTAAGTCTGTAAAGTAATTTTGGATCAATTTGACATAGATATCAACAAAATATAACCATTTTAGATCAGAAAGAGAAGAATACTTTATCAAATTGAAATTACAGGGGGAATTTTTGGAATGCAGCATGTAATTGCCCATAATTGCAATTGGTCAGAACTCGGGTGTTAACACTCTCTCCCTTATGAAAATTGCCTTAAGATTTTTAATGACTGTGGCCCCAATCCTGTAAGCTGATCTGCATGGTTGGATCCATGCATCCATACAGATCCCAGTTGATTTTACTGAGGCTCAGTGTGGGTATAAGGTACTGCCTATTTGGATCAGCTTGCTGGATTGAGGCCTAAGGGTTCTCAGCAACTCAGTTTTATATCAGCACCATCTAAAACCATCCTGGAGTGCTGGTGCAGAATTGACTCCGAGAAATGTGCTACATAATGAATTGCCAGCATTACCTTCTGAAGCATGATTTCCCTGAAGGTTTTCCATTCAGGTGCTGACCAGGCCTGACCTTGCTTAACTTCGAAGAGCTAATGTGGTCTGAGGTGGTCTGAAAAAAATTCTCATTAATTTTAGAAAAAAGCATCAAAATGTTCAAAAAACAATTCGCAGTGATTCTTTTAGGGTGAAATACGTTGCGTTGTAGCACAATTAATCTGTTACAGCCAAATAGATCCTGAAATCTACGCTGCCATATACAGAATGCCCAAAATAAGGGCCTGACTCAGTTAAAGATCTGTCAGGCTTCTGCCACAACATGTATTTGATTTCAGAGCTTGTAGACAAACGTCATATAAGAAATGCCACCTAAAGGATGTGATTGAACTCTTGTGAATTCATGTAAACAGAACTACTTCTCAAAAGTGTATTGTCTTGTCTTGTCTGTAGCATCTATTTGAGCATGATGTCTGGCTGCCAATAAAACAAAAACACTTCTGTACTATAAAATAACTACTCGCTTTCTGTTTCCAATTGTTAAAAACTATTTTGCTGCAATAGCTATTTCTGGTACAATTCAGTGTGAAGAAAACTTGCTTGTATTATTGCTTAGAGCTTGGAAAGTCTTCCCTTTATTATTTAACACATTTCATCCTTTCAAGCAATTTTTGCTGCAGCAAATAGCTATTAATATAGCAGATTTCAGGAGGTGTAAAGGTTTGTCTCACTAGCTGCAAAAAGATGAAAGCATTTTGAAGTCCAATATTTCTATTAGATTTATGGATGCATTTCTTCAGAAGACAAACTTTTCCCAGTATTGCCATGGAAATTATGACTTGCCCTGATATTTCTGTCAACCTGTGTTTTATTTTGTCATGTATTTAATTTTTGACAGAGAAAAAAACATTGTTCACCTCTCACAGAGGGATTTTGGTTTTATTTCTGTTTGAAAGACCTCTTTTATGTAATGAAAATACCTCAGCTGTATACTCAAACATTCCACTTTTCCCTCTAATAATTAGAAAGCAGGAAAATTCTGAGATAGTTAAGTGTCTATGCTGTCATCCATTATTGCTTTTATTGGCCTTTTGTACAGTAAAATATGCAGTATACTCTGTCCTTCTCTCTGTCTACGAAGTTTCTCTTTAAATCTGGCTAAAGCACCACTGCATTCTTGTTAGACTCCCGGAATCCAGTGTTTTCTGAGACGTGGTGAGTATTACTGCAGGTGAGATTCCCATTTGGCAGGTTTCAGTGGAGTAGTGAGGTTAAGTGGTGCTCTTAATAGATTATTCTTTGGATTTTTTTCATGTTATACTGGAAGTGAAATAAAATGCAACAATTGCTTTAATTACTTAGTAAAAAATATTCTTTGGCTGAGTGTGCTGGGTATAGATTTCATGTAATGTAAGGTAGGTCTGGTTTTGTGCTCAATAACGTGTTATTCCTGGAACAGGAATAATAGATAGAAAGTATATGTATTTCTGAATTAAGGGTGGAATTTGACCCCTGTGCTCCAGGCCAGCACTGAGCACTACAAGTCCCACCTAAATCGTCAAAATAAAGACTTCAGGAGTGCATTAGCCTTGGACTGGTCCTCTGTGCAAGGGTCAATTTCACCCTCATAGTGTAGAGTGGTGGAGAGGTGTGAACATGAGCCTGTGAACCCAGAATTCAAATCCCAGCCTTGACAGCCACTCACTCTGTGACATTGGGTAAATTACTTGAGCCTTCCTTATCTGTTTCCTTATCAGTAAAATCAGGATAATACCTCACATGGGCACTTTTTGGATTAATTAATTAGGGTAATATTTATGAAATGTATAAGTGCTATGCATTATTTTTAATTCATGTAGTAAGTGGAGTTTGCCATATGTAAGAGAAGAGCTGAAGACAATGTAGAGAGGCAGTCAAGAAATGTGTCTAATGCTTTACTAGGCAAAAAGATACTCTCAAGTAACACTGCTCTACAGCCAAAATGCTTCTGAAATAAATGTAGTCAAACTTTACTAATTCTGGGTCACTGAGAACTAAAATGATGGTTAAAATTGTTGATTGGCTCTAATTTTCAAGATATGCTATTAGGTCAATATATACGACCCTTGACTTGGGAATGGCGGAGGATAAGTGAGTTATAAAGGGAAGGGATCTCAATTTAAACCAGAAATGACTAAACTATATCTTTGACTGGATCTATGAATAAATCTATGACTGGGTTTGGACAGTACTTGCTTTTTAGGCAAAACAATGAATGATGCAATCTGAAGCCGGTATTGCGTCATACATGATATGAATTGCATCATGTTATTCCTAGAAGTCATGGATGATGCAATCATAACAAAGCTTACATCACTTTGCTAAACAAATTGCCCTATATCAGCTCTAGAAATCATACAGTGTCGTGCTCTCTTCTTTGT